GCATCATTTTGCAATGAAGTCGGAAATTGCATTTGCATTATGATGACAAAAGCCATAACCTGCCACGTTGTATGACATTACTGCTATTAAAAAGTGCTTCCAGAAGGAGAGGCAGGAGGTTAAATGGGGAAGGACAAATGTGAGTGTCAGAGGAAATTAGAAGGATGTATTGGTTTGGTTCGGAAAGGCTCACATCCCTTAGATATGGCCTTTTTTTACTTTGAGAAATAGCCATCTTTCTTTTTCCTCTCGTAACTCTCTGATGGTTAGGGTCAAGAGTCGCATAATTCAGAAATCCGAGTCAGTAGCTGCAGGGCTTTTTCTCTGCACGGCCTCCATGTTGCCTGCATGGCTGTCTCTGCATCTATAGCTGCTAGCTAGCTGAAGAATATGCTCTTTCTGTCCACTCATGCATATCTTTGCAAACACGGATGATTTATTACACTGTACTACACTATTTTTCCGAAAAATGTTTACTCTAAAAGGAAACAAAAAACAGCTCATTTGAATGTAATGCTGGAATGTAGCAGTGCACTTACTCTTGGTGAAGAATGTGTCATCAAGTGCATTGTACAATTGTTTGGGTTTGTATTGTTTTGGTCAGTCTGAATAAGGATGATGAATAGGATATGAGGGGAAACTTTCCAGAGAAACTGAAATAATTAAAGAGGCCCTATTATGCTTTTGGGGTTTTCCCTTTCCTGTAGTGTGTTATATGTTTTTGTGCATGTAAATGTTCTGCAAAGGCTAAATCTCATTATTACTTATTCTACGTTTCAGAGACAAATATTCACATTTATGACACTACATTTATTTTAAAGCTAAAGTGACTAAATTGTGTTCTTTTTAACCAAATATTTCTCAGAGGGGCGTGGGGAGTGGCTCCTTATTTTCATCTAAAGTAACAGACAGAGCACTTTTGAAACAGGGCTGAAACAGAGGGGATTATGGGATGCTACAATGACCTGTTTGGTGTTTGGAGGCAAACACTTCAGAGACATGTTTTGTATCTATCTGAGACCTATAATATATTGATGAAAAACAATATAATAGGGGACCTTTAAGAAAAAGTTATTCAATACGTCAAGTGTTTAAAACTATTAAATGCAGGAAAAAGGCCTGTTCGGCAATTTTATTATAATATTGACTATTTACATTTTATTTTTGAGTTATGATTTAGAGGTATTTTCTGCTTACTTATTTGCTTTTCCGCTGCTATTTTCTGCTTATAAATGTATTCCACAACTCATTAATATTGAAGCAGTTTTACTTTTAAATGCATTGCAATGTCATTTTTAACAACTGCTTAGATCTCTGTAGTACATGATTAAAATACAGAATTACATGTGCACAATTCATAACATGAGCCTAGACGCTTCTGGTGTTATAACAGCCTTGCATCAGATAATATCGTATGTCAAACACATACTAACACAGTGATATGAGGGTTTATCCTTAGGGAATGAATTCCATTAACCAATTTCCACTCGTGCTGCTACAGAGCGGAGCCTCTTACTGACGAGTTACACTAACAATTGCTTTTCTGTGCTGTTTGTAACAAGATTGTTTGTCAGTGTCACTCAGAGCAACAGTAGGCTTATACTTCGTCTGGTTTGTCCCATGGCATACGAAGAGCGGGATGCCTCCTGCTCATCCTTTGCAGTGAATGTGTGTGTGGTGACTCTGGTAAGGTGCTACCACACTGTCTGCTCTAAAGTCAGCATCTCTTCCCTTGGGCATCAGTGTTTTCCTCACAGCTCCACTCGGCTTTAACAACATGCCTCCGCAGAGGCGTCAGGACCCTGAATAACAATAGCAGTTGTAATTGCATTTGTATGTGTGATTGCGGAGAGGCGGAGAGAACTGTTGGTGTGGTTCCTTGTGTGTGTGTGTATGCATATATGGATTTGCTTCCCTCTCATGCGTTTTCCGCTCTGTGTGTGCTCATTTTGGAGCAGGCTTGTTCATTGGGTCTGTGGGGAGGTGTGCTTTCTGCTGACTTTGTTTGGTTCAAAGCCTGAGGCTCATGCTGATCAATATTATCCCGGACCCACCACGTCTATGTGCAGCTGATTGGCTCCCTGCGTGGCAGGCAGCCGCAGCTTAACCCTCTGGAGTCTAAGGGTATTTTCTCGATTTTTAGATGTTTTCTTAAATCACCTTTTAAATGTATTTCTTCTAACATGGCACCCCATGTGTTACATATCCAAATGTTCAGGACAATCTCTGGTCTTGCTATATATGCATATTACTCACCTTAGAGCACTGTTTGATGAGATAAGTAGCTACAAAGCTTAAAACTTGACATCCGATTTTCGGAAAATCTTCAAAACTCTTGTGAAAACACAAATGTACTCATGTGATCGAATTGTTTTGGTGTTTTAGATTTGGTTACCAAAGTCCTAGGATCACAAAAGCAGTGAAATATTTGAATTACACTGTATATAAATGTGTTATTCATGTCTAAAATTAAAAAAATTAAATTCAAATTTTGAGTAAAACAGGTGTTTATCACTCTATGTTCACCACAGCAGGGACTGAGATACATCAGGACTGAATAATGACTTCATATTACATACCAAGGTTCATGTGATGTGTACAAATACAAATTGAGGATTCAACCTTTTTTTTTCAACCAACAATTTATTATAAATATGGTTTGTTTAACCAACTATTTATATAAATATAAGAAACTGGAAAATCTAACTATTACAATATTGAACATCAGAACTTTCAACCAACTATTCATTATAAATGTCAAGACAGTGTCAAGGTCTTTGTCTGTCTTCCAAGACAGTGGGTCTGGCTGCTGTGTAGGTGGGGGTGATGGTGCATGGGCTGCTGTGTAGGTGGGGTGTACAAGTGCTATACGAGACCTCCACGAGACCTCCTTGCTGGCTGGGTTGAAGGTGATGGCTGTGGTGGAGCCTTTGTGCTGAGGTGTATCTTGACCTGGTGGCAGCCGCAGATGGAGGTGGAGGCAGCTGTAGTGATGCTGGTCTGTTGGTCCTTGGTGGTGATGGCTCTGGTGAAGGCCCTTGAGCCACGGTAGATCTTGACCTGGGGGCCGGCACAGATGGATGTTGTGGCTGCTGGATAAACACCGCCTGTGGGCCACTAGGCCCAGACAGCTGTGAAACATCTCTGTAAAACAAATTAAAATGTAGGACAATAATTACAACTAATTTCATTGAAATAAAGTTCAAGTAAAATGTTGCTCAAGCACAAATAACAATGCATACATAAAAATAAAGTTTGGGAGGTTGGAGAAGGAGTCTCTCTCGATCTCTCTCTCTCTCTCACACACACACATACACACACACACACACACACACACACACACACACACACACACACACACACACACACACACACACACACACACACACACACACACACACACACACACACACACACACACACACACACAGAGGTATTTCCAGTTACTTTACATTCAGTATAAAATCACAGACACACATATACATAGGCTACATCTGATTACAAAGTCTCATCTATACAGGACGGTAAAATAATAACAGGCACACATATAAATACATCTATGACAAAGTCTCATCTGTACAGAACAGTATGATAAAATAATCGATGGCAAAAACATGTCACTGTAAATGTCTCCGTTGTGGGACGAATAAATGATTAATTTAATCATCTACACATGTAATCTCACTTTTACACACCAAAATAACGTTAACACAGAGTAAACGTTTGCTAATGGAGAGTCTATTTTGTCCCAATAAAAAGTTCATGACTATCAATAAAAAATATATATCAATAAACCTATTGTTCATTTTCGCGGTATTCCCCACACATTGCCAGTACACTATTACTGTAATATTTACACTTACCCATGTCCAAATGGATCCTTGTTGTTGTCTTTGTATTCTTCTTCTTCAGAAGAGTCGAAGACTTCAGGTTCTGAGGCTCTATCTTCACTGCTGCTAGCGAAAAAAATCTCTAGCGAAGTCGGCAACTGTAAAGTTTTTTTTAGCCATTTTCTCTGTCTCTCTCTCTCTCTCCTCAAAGACGTAAACTGATGGGAGACACGTGGTTTATGTTTTGTTTACTTGGTGGGTAGGCCCTTAGTGATTTCTCGATGTCCATTGGTCATTTCAGACCATGATGGCTGCCGGCCGAGATTTCCTTGACGGACACACCAATCCACCACCACACAGCTGCTTTGAGCGGCCATATTGGCTGCTGTGCCCTGGTTATAGTCTCACAGGAGATACCGCTGGAAAGCTACTCTTCCAGCGATTCCGCGGATATCTGAATCATATTTCTACTCCTTATAATCGAAAATATATGATTAATTACGTAAAAGTATGCGCACTTGGAGTCGCGTCCATCGACTCCAGAGGGTTTAATAGCGGAAAGTCATATGGGACCATATACGTCAATATGTTACTCACATCTCTCTGGATATATTTTTGGACACACCCTTAATCACTCAGAATGTGCGTGCAATTGTGTTTGACCTCAAAACTCTGAAAACTCTAAAAATACATTGCTTTTATTAAAAGAAGAAGTGACATTTAAGTAAATGTTATTACAGCATGGCGTGCAGTCATCATCACGTATTGGAAAACCTAACCAGTAGTTGTGTGTTTTCTAGGGGACAGTTAGTAACTTGCCAATAAAGCATTGATGGCATTTCTGGCTTTAGGCTAGTGTTTAGCATTTGTTTCTAGGGAGCAGACTTTCCAATTGAGTTTCTGTGTGGGTGTCTTCACTCTTGTCTGAATTGTGTTGCAGCTAAGTGTTGCAACTAGCGTACAATATGCCCAAACTCAAATTTGTATTTCTATCAGTCTGCAATCAATATGTCCCATAAATGTTTATATTTTGTCTCTGTAGGGGCAAGAAAAATGAGGCCAATTAGAGTATGTTGTCCTTTCGGCTGAGGCTGGCAGGCCCCTTGTTCACAGTGACACAGGCATAAACATCAGCACCGTCTAATCTGCATCTGTTTGTGTTCTCCTCAGGTCTGGACGACTGTCTCCAGCAGTACGTGAAGAGTTTCGAGCGAGAGCAGATGGGCGGAGAGCAGCTGCTACACATCACCCATCAGGAGCTGGAGGAGCTGGGTGTTACCAGAATAGGACATCAGGAGCTCATCCTGGAAGCTGTCGACCTGCTCTGTGCCCTGGTCAGTCACTCAGCCTCTGTTACTCACTGACACTGTCTCTCTCAATCCATAGTGCTTTGGACGGGGGTGATGTTCAAATGCATTAGTATTTGCCTGACACAATATTGAACCCCAAAACGGACACATTTTAGTAAAAGGTTACATCACACATCCAATAATGGATGGGGGGGGGGAGGGGGGGTGCTCGTGGATCGCTGGAGCTGTATTGGATTAACATTAATTAACATGCTTATTGTAGTTGTAAGTGCACTGCCTTGCGGCCTGTAGCATATGTGTGGGCTGGACCTGTATTTTACAGGAAAGGAGTGAGCAGAGGGTCGAGTTGTCCATTCTTGTTCTGTTTTCTGTGACTATCTTCCTCACCCTCTCAGACTTTTAGTTGCGCGCGCTACTAAAGAGACGCGCTACCATGGAAATCAAACAATGGTGTAGCTGTATTAAAGTCCGAGTGGAAACGGTCCTGAGTAAATCTGATTTTGTCAGAAATCGGGAGAAATGCGGGAGAAATATGACCCCGGGAGGAAACCGGGAGAGGGCAATGAAATCGGGAGTCTCCCGCGAAAATTGGGAGGGTTGGCAAGTATGGTTTAGCAAACCATTTTTCATTTAAGCTAGCTAGCTAAAAAAAATGCTTGCGATGAGGCTAACAGCTCTACACTTTTTGAGAATGCAGAGCCAGAGTCAAAAAACATTTTTCACCTTTTTATTTATTAAAATAAAATAATGAAACCCTCCTGTGTCAGAGTCTGAACTGCTACAGTTATGAAATAGTAGCCTAGTAAATGGTACAAATGCACCGCTTGTTAGCTTAAAGAGGTTTTTCCCCCTCTTCAATAACTCTTTTATTGACTGAAATTAAGTAGGCCTAGGTACAATCCCAAGAACAAAATACTATGGGGAAATAAACAGCACAGTAAATAAATATACAATGAAGCTGGCATGTTAGGGTGGATTGCTGGTTAATGATAAGCTTGCCATGCTACTGCTGATTTAATAAAAAAATTCAGTCAGACAACTCACATATGTATATTTTAAGATCAATTCAGAGTGCATTCATGAAACTGCTAAATAAATTCTCACAGGAAGAAAGATTTATAAACTTGTTGTTGTTTATTTTCCACTACCGGTCATTGATATTGGCTTAGGAAATGGCTTTAAAAATCCTCCATCATCTGGGCCCTGTTTTGTGTTCTGTCTTGGTCACTGCGGAGTGCGGACTGTATGTGCTCAGGATTACGGAATTAGGTGGAATTAGGTGGAATTAGGTGCTACTCTCCCAGAGAGAGAAAGAGACAGAGGCAGAGCGAGAGGGAGGAAGAGGAAGAGGAAAAGGAAGAGTATGTAGAAAGAGCATGCAGGATGCACCTTATCTCCCTGGCACACATGGCTGGATTAGTAAGGGCTGTTTGAATGGTTGTGAGAGAGAGTGTGTGTGTCTGTGTGTGTGTGCTAATCAGCACCTCTTCATTCAAACGTTCCAGCATGGGAATGAGGGTCCCAGAGCAAGCAATCACCACCATATGCCCTGGAACTGGAACCACTGCACACACATAGGGATGCCAGGTATACAAGATGTATCACTAAAACCACTGCTGTGAGTAGCATTGAATGATGATTCTAGTTTATAACAACTCAAGTTAAACTTTTTGTAGTTCTAGCTATCATTCCCATCAGATTAACAACAGTGTATACTCACCAAGTACTTTCTGGGAACACATTGGCATGGGGATGAAATGTTGACCATCATTACTGTCCAAAATGTGTAATAATTTCCTGTCCAAAGATACGCGATTGACCTGATATCAATATAGAACGACAACTTGTAATTGGGCTCTTGTAGGTTGAGTCTTGTCAGTCAGTAGTATGTTCAGCTGATCCTGATGACCCTAAAAATCTCTAAATCTAAACTCTAGATTAACACTCATAATGTGAAGTGTGAAGAAGAGATAATCCTGAAGTAACCATTACAGCTTTTTGAAGGCAATATTGTGCACTTGACACTGAAACAGGAACCTCTTCTGAGGTTGGGCGATATGTTGAAATAGTTCAACTAGCCACTTTCAGCAACAATTGCAGAAAGATGATGAATTTGTCCAATTGCCCAACCCTAACCTGTCCCTATAAACCTGCAAACATTTTAAAGCTATTCTTCAAGTTTTGTTTACCAATGACTGGTGATTTGTACTAATCTTATTGAACTATTGCTCCATAATCTTTTGTCTCTTTTAACCTCTTAGTAGTCAAACTGGTTGAGGAACATAAACACAAAACCATTTTTTCACAATATAAAAGCATTCAATAATAAAGAATAGTCCTCTCAGCCTCAATCGAGCTTTTCTGGCTGGTGATTCAAGATTTTTAACATTATATATGTATTGACATTAAAAAAAGGGATTATTACAAGCATTTTTGTGTCCGACTTTGGTTTCTACAGCTCATGTATTGCCCCGTTGGACCTAGCAGACAAAGTGCTTTCTAGATCTCATCTCAGCAATTATTATGTTGAGTAAAATCAATATAAATTAAGTTCAAAAGTGCAAAAATAAGACCTTAGTTATAATAAATCAAAATGATCCTTTAAGAAAGCAATTCTCAACGGACCTCCTACCTTCATTAACGTTTCTCTCCAAGTTCCACAGGGAAGCAAGTACCTGTAGACAAAGAGTATTTGGATAATAAAGGACGATTCACTGTTGTCAGCAATATAATCCATCATGAAGAAAGCAAAACCCTTTTCCCCTGGCTCAACCGTTACGACTTTCTGGACTTTCTGCAGTCAAAGAATATGGGAACTTCCGTGGCCCTGGATCAATGCAAAGTTTCAAGCGCTGACTGAGCTCTCAGTCTCGCTGTAAATGTGGAAAAGTCTCTTCTTTTATGCCTATGCATTCAAGTGTTTTCCCCTAGCCTTTATGCTAATAGGTTTCTGAGGGTGCAGTGAATTTTCAGAAAGATGTGTTGGGAAATGGACACAACCTTTTTTTGTGTGGCCTTTTTCGCCTTTATTTGACAGAGGACAGTATAAAATAAGGAGATCTAGGTTTGACATGCCTCAAAAGGCCCCAAAGCGGGAATCAAACCTGGGACATTGCGGTTATACTGTATGCGCTGTGACCTTTTATCTACCAATGTTAAATAATGGGCATCATTTAAAAATCAATGGACTTCTCAACCCAAAATCTGTGTTAAAAGACACTTTATGTATCATTGTATTAAAGTTACATACAACAATGTAGAAACTGAGCAAATACATACAATCATCATAGTCAGGCCACAGTTTGCCACACGGTCAATTGTAAGTGTATTATCTTTGTAAAACTTGTTGAAGTTAAGACAAGTGAATGATTATTTCCACCGACAGTCTTTGTATGATGCCAGCGTTCTGATGGGGCTTTCACTCATACAAACACTTTAATACAGTATCTATCAGGGATTTACAGTTTTTAATCAATCTGACTGAGAAAAAAAACAGGCAGAACAAAAACTCAATATAGCTTGGCTTTATCCATAATACTATAATAATTAGCTTTATAATGTTATACTTTTGTTCTGGTTTTGTTCAGAGGAATTGCTTCATGATGTCATCTCCTCCCAGATCTCTCTTAAACAGATGAGTGAGCTTTCTGTTTTGGTTCCTTTTCTGTGCCACCCTTCAGACCCTTTAAAATGCTGTCAGTTACTTGAAAGTTATTAAATAGTTGCCCAAAATGTATATTTGTAGTCCTCATATGTCCCAAACAAGAAAGATTAAATTGTCTTGTTTGTTTTGCATGTGCGTGTGCCTATGTGTTTAGATCTAAGGGATTTTTAGTCTTCGGTTGATCGTCTAATCATTTATTTTCTTGGTTTAGTTGTTGATTCCTAAGGGGAACCCTTTCTACATTAAAACACTTGTTTGAGAAACTCCCTTGAAAAAAGGTTGTTACAAACAAATCAAACCATGTATCATAATGTGTATTCTGGTGTTAAGCTGCTTGAAACAGCCCTTATTTTATTCTATAAGCTGCTTATTTAAACCGTAGTCAAGTTTATTAATATATGTAATAAATGTGCTTTATAAATAATACAAATTCAAAAGGCATAAATCATGAAATTACAAAAATATATATGATAACAACACATGTAAAATGGTGCTTAATATTTAAAAACATACAAGATATCCTAAGAAGGTATAACAATAAAATAGAATAACAGAATAATGTTTGGCTCTATGAAACCTGATGTACTTATATGATTCTGTTTTCTTCAAGGTTGTGTCTTCCTGGTCGAATGTACTTATTGTAAGTCGCTTTGGACAAAAGCGTCAGCTAAATGCAATGTAATGTAATGTAATGTAAATAAATGAGGGTACTAAGACTTAATGTGCTTGAAAATCAAAACAAGGGAAAGCATTACACAAGACACAAACAAAAGAGGTCAGATAAGAAGGTATACATATATAAAACAAATAATATAGTAAGGAAAATATAAAATATGAAAATATTGATACTTACTCTAAAATAAAAGTTGTACCTGAAAAAAATAGAGGTAGATTATGCCATACAGAAGGACGGTAATGACTGAAGACTATAAATAGATATTTTGTAAAATCAAAATGAGAAAATGCCTCATAGCTGGACTTGTACCGAGAAAGATCCTGCAGTAGATTCAAAATTCAACCATTATTCAAACCTCATGTGCTTGAGACGAGCAGTGAACACAGATCCTCCCAGCTGTGAACCACACACACACGCACACACACACACACACACACACACACACACACACACACACACCACACACACACACACACACACACACACACCACACACACACACACACACACACACACACACACACACACACACACACACACACACACACACACACACACACACGATCAATAGTCCTCTTGATTAATAGCCATTAGATGCTCTCCATTTAAGTGAATGTGCAGTGGAGCGAGACTGATTAATGTTGGAGGTTTGAAAAGGAAAATAATTCCTGTGTTTGGCCGAAACATTTCATAACCAGTGTATGAGTGCGATTCTGTGAACAATAGTGGAGATATCATCGTAGAGGAGAGGCCACTCCACACATGGCTGCTATGGCAACCACATCGACATGAAGGTGGATGAGGGTGGGTTGGGGGGGGTGGTTGCTTAATGGCATCGCCCTCTTACTGTATTGATTTGACATGCACATGCACGCACCGCTCAAATTATTTCCCTCTCCTTCTCCACACACACAGACAGTCGTCACAGCGTGGGCATTATTTGTCCCCCCCCCCTTCATCTCGGCACTCCCCTGGAGAGAGACACACACAGGGCTTCAGATCGGATCACAGGACATGCTAATTACAGCTGTGCAAACATGTGCACTCCAAGTTCACGTATACATCGACATTTCCCACAGAATACAGGAGATTATACGGAACACAGTGTCTGCATGACCCAGTTTTCACAGAGATGCATAGCCGGGCGCTCTCCATCTCTCTCTCCCTCTTGTCTTCTGCCTCTTTAGTTCCTCTATTCTCTCCCTCTCTGCTGCCACTGCTGAAACCCCTCGCTCCTTTATAGTCACTGTGGTCGTGACTGTGTAGAAAAGATCTAGAGGGAGAGGAGCAATGGATACGTCTAGCTGAGCGTGTGCATCTGACTTTACGGGTTTAAGGGTGTGTGTGTGTGTGTGTGTGTGTGTGTGTGTGTGTGTAATCTTTGTCAGCAGGAATCAGGCTCCGTCAGGCAGGACATGACTGGAGGTGCCTTGGGATGCCGAGCGCAATGTGGCTCAGTGGGTCTATGTGTGTGTGTGTTTGTGTGTATGTGTGTGTTTATCTAAAAGGGTCACAGTGCAGTAATGGGATGCTCAACCAGTTTGGTGTTCTTGTATTAGCGTGCAGAGTGGCTGTTATATGTAAAATGCTAATGGGATTCCGAGAGAGTTATTCTAATTTCAGGTCTTTCCACTTACAAAAAAGTGTAATGACTGTAGCTACTTTTAGTGCTTAACCCCATACAACTTGTCAAAAGGTAATCCATATTTAGAAAGATCAATGTGAAAGTATATATTACAGCGGTTTTATGTTATTCTTTTGTGTTTATTTGTGGATACTTCAAGTCAAGTGCGGGCTGAGCTAACCACAGCTTGACTTCAACTCAATAGATACTGACCAGTGGCGGCTGGTGGAAAATATTTTTGGTGGGGCTATGGAAATAGGGACCAAACCATACTAGGGCGGAAATTACCCCTTCAATTATGACTTCTGGTGATGTTATTAAAAATATGAGATAATCCATAATCTTCAGTGTGATTAGCTATGAATCTTCCAAAACTTGTGCAACAGTACAGTCGGCCCACACAAACTGCAGAACACTGGTGCTTTGGGAACACTCAAATGATTTAATTCCCATTTAAAATCAGGAGACTAAATACGAACATTATGTGTGTGTGTGTGTGTGTGTGTGTGTGTGTGTGTGTGTGTGTGTGTGTGTGTGTGTGTGTGTGTGTGTGTGTGTGTGTGTGTGTGTGTGTGTGTGTGTGTGTGTGTGTGTGTCATACTTGCCAACCCTCCCGATTTTCGCGGGAGACTACCGATTTCCTCCCGGGGTCATATTTCTCCCGATTTCTGACTAAATCAGATTGACTCACGACTGTTTCCACTCTGACTTTAATACAGCTACACCATTGTTTGGTTTCCATGGTAGCGCGTCTCTTTAGCAGCGCGCGCAACTCAAAGTTTGAGAGGGTGAGGAAGATGAAAACTGAACAAGAATCGACAACTCCACCCTCTGCTCACTCCTTTCCTGTAAAATACAGGTCCAGTCCACACATATGCTCCATGGTGCTACAGGCATTGTCCTTACAACTACAATAAGCATTTAATGTTAATCTACAGCTCCGGCGATCCACTAGCAACAGAGTCTCCACCTCCACTGTAGCGTCACCTTAGATACGAGTCCAAACAACTCACAGACACACAGGCCAGGGCGCTGACAGGGCGCCCTTTGAGCATCAGATCTGACGACGCTGATTGGCTGAAATTATGTTTCGGCGGCATAGTATACAGATAGCAACAGTCAGCTTGTTGGCTACTGCTGCTCTGGCTGAGGGCTCCTTTCTACCGCCCAGACGAGAGAGGGTAATGATACACGCTGCGGCCAGCCAGGAAACATGTGACTTATCAGTAACTTTAGACATCGTAAAACAATTTTAAACGAGATTTTATTGTAGATTATACATTTTACTGATACCAACTATATAATATTTACCTTGTTCATTCAAAAATAAAAAAAATATATATTTAAAAAAAATGTTTTTATTTTTAATGACATGTGGGAAGAGCTCCCCTATGGGCCGGCCGCCACTGATACTGACATATATATATATATAAATATATATATATAAAAGAGCGGTATCAATCATCTTATCTAACTCACAGAAAGTTTTCACAACTGTTTCTTTAACCATTGATCAAATATATCCCTTCCAGAAGTTACCTAAAGCCAATGTCTTTGACGCAGACTGCGCAACAAAAATAGCATGTTAGCTTAGCAGCAGCAACACCTGCATGTGGTTCTACTTCTAAAACGAATCCCTCTGTTTGTCCTCCAGAAACTATGGCCTCGAGACGGAGAACCTCAGAACTTTGTCACACAAGCTGAATGCTTCGGCGAAAAACCTCCAGAACTTCATCCTGGGTCGGCGGAGGGGCGGGCACTACGACGGACGAGCTTCCCGGAGGCTACCCAACGACTTCCTCACCTCCGTGGTGGACCTGATCGGTGCAGCCAAGAACCTGCTAGCCTGGCTCGACAGGTAACATTTATTTGACCATATATTTTTAAGAGAATTTAAATACAGTAGGGATGAGGGGTTTAATGTGCATCTATAATCAGAATATCAGTGGTTCGATCTCCAGTGTCCAAGATATTTAACCCCATATTGTTCCCGCTGTGTATTTGGTATCATAATAATGTAATCACATAAAATAAATATGTAAATCCTATATTGATGTTTTAGTATTAGTTATTTTACTACAAATGATAAACCAGGCAGTGGACAAAATAATAAGAACACATTACAACCTCCTTCTGAAACAAAAGTTAAACAACAATAAAACCTTATTAACTCACATGATATGGTAACATCAGTAATACATGGGTAAATAGGATTGTTTTTGATGTTGTTCCTGACATAAGTTCAGCTGATGGAGCCGGATGAAACTGAGGACACATACAAATAAAGCAATGTTTGAGCTTTAGAAGATTTCTTGGCTGCATCGACTTCTGGCCGTGATATAAAACTAAATATTGTTGTTTGTCTGAATCACATGCTCATGTGCTCTGAGAGGGAAACAGAACAGCTTTTATTGTCCTCTCTCACTGCCCTGTTACAGCTTTTAGAATCACAGACTTACTTAGCAAATAAATGAATGCAACAAAATAAAAACACCAAGCAAAAATCACCTCCTCAAAACAGAAATGCACTCATTTATTTTTATAGAATGGCCCAATATGCTTTTGTTCACATTCATGATAGAGTGGTTGTGAGACCTTAGATGACCTTTTTTCAGACATTTAAAAAAAAAGTATAGTACTAACACCTCGGTCAAATCAATGAAAGCAAACAAAAATGAGGCACAAAAAAAAGAAGAAGAGGAGGAAACATCATTCTCCACCACAGGACCTTTTGATGATAAAAATAGTGAAATGTAGAATAAGATCATGCCGATAATTGTATCCAAAGTTCTACAAACGTTTACCATATGTTTACGGTTTCAGATGCATTTGTCTGATCATGATCTCTATTTTTGCCTTTCAGGTCTCCATTTGCCAGTGTGACAGAGTATTCGTTACTGAAGAACAACATTGTGCAGCTCTGCTTAGAATTAACCACCATCGTACAACAGGTGATTTCACAAACACATGGGGGTGCATGCATTACTCATTGCAATATATTCATACAGTATAAGTTACGCTAATAAAATAAAGGCCTGTTTGGTCTGTGTTTGGTCTGTGTTAAAACAATTAAATGAAATAAAAAAATTGCAATAAAAGGGAGAGAAGAGAGCAGCGGCTGAAGCACAGGGTTAAAACCTGTACTCCTGCCCCCCCGAGGGGGTCTCCCCTGGTGGGGTGTCCGAGGCTGTGTCCCACAACATCTGGTAAAAGACCTGGTAAGTGGGTTAAAAACATCTGGCTAAAAGTACAGAGGTTGACTTTGTTTAAAATCGGCATGCAGGTAAAATTATTGTGAAAGATAAATAAATACATAAAAGTGCTTAGTACAATAAGTGCTTTTAAAAATAAGTGATGGTAATAAATATCACAACAACCCAAATGTTAAAAATATGTAAGATATAAAACAAATATGTAAAATATAAAATACACACGGGTTAGTATTAGGGATGACAGTGATTATTCGATTATTCGAATATTCGTTACAGTCTCCATAATCGAATATTATTTTTAAAAATCGATTTTATTTATATATTTTTTATTATTATTTATGTTTATTTTTTTTTCTGGCTTAGTTTCAACCAAAATATAGACTAATGCTAATAATAGTAATAGTATTAATAATTGTAAATGGCCATTGGTCACACCACCAGTTTGTTTTACTGTAAACTTGGAGGAAGCCTGCGTGCAGAGCAGACTGCTGCTGCGAATAATCGATTTTGATTATGGTCAGTTTCTGGCAACCCTAGTTAGTATAGGCACACGGGGAGGGAACATATTTTTAAATAAAATCAACCAAGTATCCCTAAAACTGTTTAAAACCCAGGCCGAGGTGGTGCAGGTGAGACATGGGACACGCCTCGGATGATGTTTAAAAATACTTTATTAAAGGGGTTATTTCAGGGTGTTTTTTAAGAAGAGACCATAGAAATAGCGTTGGAATAGAACAGACATTGCACTCTTTTCCATTGTCATTTGACGGTCATTTTTTAGATGTAACCTTCAATTTGCAAACTCTCACAAGATGGTTTAGGTTTGGTAATGACCTTAATTGGTTTAGGTAGTCTGGCAGTGAGATCTAGACCAAGTTTTTCCATGTAAATTGAGGCTTACCTTCTAGACACAACATTGTTTGACCAGTACAAAAGAAAATGGTAAATCTAGCTATCATTTTTGAGGACAGCACACTTGGTGTCATAAGGTGTGTTTGCAGATTGCCAGGAAGAGAGCACACCAAGCTCAGGAGACAGATGGTGGGCTAGCTAGCACGTTAGCTTGTCCGTTTTAGACAGTAGGGAATGAGGCAGAGGAACAACTACACCCAGTGGGTTAGGGTTAGAGTAAGGGATTGTTCTTTGGCTTATTTTTTGTTATCAGTGTAACAAAGTCTGAAAGCTTGGTAAAATTAGCAACCTAGATGGCTAGTTCAGTCAGACAACTCATGTGTTTCTTTAACATGTTTATTAGAAGCAGCATATAGTTGAGTTTGGCGTCTAGGCTCGGGCATCATCACTCCATAGATATACATAGCACAATGAGTGATGATTAAATAACTAACCCCGAGCCTACAGGTGGAAGCTGGGGTGGTGCTGGGGTGGTGCTGGGACAGGCAAGCAGCAGCGACATAGAAGTAGCTGCAGCAATAGCAGCAGCAAGCAATGCATAGAGAGATATCTGGCAGGTTAAATAGAGCGGCATATAGAAAACCGCAGTGAGAAGTAAACTCCTTCCGGTTCCTTCGTCAAAAACGCAATGCAATTTCTCCATAGGATTTTGGAAAATAGCTCGAAATAAGGTCTGTGGTCGACACACATTTAAGAGACGTATCACATTTTGTTCAGCCGGACAATATCCACATGTCTATCCTACTTTTATAATTTTCGAATCATAAATCTAGTCGCCAGAAACAAAATGCTAACGTTATGCTATAAAGGAACTACAGCAGGGTCGCTGCTTCAACGTCACGCCAACTTAAGAACCATATTCAAACATACAGATTCTAAATGGTTCAAGTTGAAGTGTTTGTTTGAACAGTTTGCAGGAGGCAGGTACTTGCTTTCAAGCAGAACAGGGCAAACAAACTTAGCGGGAGTGTTTTACGTGTTCGGCGTAATGACGTAAAACGGCCTGGACAACTTCTGTAGTCCTATTCAGCCACTTGTCAACAACCATCGTTTTTCAGACACGCAAACTCTTCAAAAATCACCAGCGGGGTCACTGCTGATGTATTTAATGTCGTAGAACAAAACGTGATCTGTCTCTTCAATTTGTGTCAAACACAGACCTTATTTGGAGCTATTTTCCAAAATCCTATGGAGAAAATGCATTGCTTTTTATCGAAGGAACCGGACGTGGTAAAAATGCTAACTTACTTCCGGGTTTTAGGACGCGTCACTGCGGTTCTCTATTAAGGAGACTCTGTTTGGTTGGTTGTAGAGTGGCAAGGGGCGTTATGTATGAATGCAGCATAAGTGCTCGAGTTGACTGCCTGAGCTAGCTCGCAGGCTTCACCCCATTTAGCGAAAAGCTGACTAGTTGGCTAAATCTTGTGAGAGTAACGTCAATGGTTTTTTATGCATTAAGTTGTTCATTTTACTAATTTCACTCAATATGCAGTGGCAATGATACACATAAAAATGGCCGACACTCTGACCACTCTACATTGATTAATGGCAATGTCCAAACATCTCCTATTCTATTTCTATGGATATGACACTACGGATCAATATATATATATATAAACACATATTTAACTAATAGCTATCACCATACAACTTCTACAGTTCATTACTTAAATAAAGACCATTCTTTTTTGTATGACAGGCCTTATTAACTATTATTTAGAAATGTGCAAATGAGGTATTATCTTGCTAAATATGTGCTCATTTTATACATTTCTGGAGCATTGGTTCTAAATAATTGTTTGATTATGTTGACTTATTTGAGTCAACCACTTTTTTAGAGAATATATCTCTTTGTTTTATTCGGGGATTCTGTCCAACAGCCATAAAAAACATACATTTTCACTAAATAACTCATTTTGAGAAAACCACCTCTAAAGACATTTTTTTATTGTGGAGTTCAATAACTTTACATGGTCCAAAGATTAACTAATGAATACTACCATGAAGTTGTTTACTTTACTTACTCACACAATGACTTATTGTGGTTTCTGATGAGGCATTATCTAATGCTGTTGTATTTTTAGGAGAAATCTAGACAGGCAAATAGACAATATCAGTTAAATAAACACCTAAATTATTATTTTTGGATGTTTCCTATCCACTAGTCTGAAAAAAGACAGCTTAAACGCTTAAAATGGACTAGTTCATGGAAAAAACAATGGTTTTGCCTGTAGTGTCACACCACCACTCTGATACTGCAGAAATCTCATTGTTTGGACAGAAAGTATGTCTGCTCTCCTGGACTCCATCCACATCCTCCCTGTAAGAGCCTGCTCAGAGTGTGTGAGAGTGTGTTTGTACGTGTGCCCGGAGTGAGTCCTGGAGCCGAGCAGATAAAACCCATCCCCTCTTTAAAAGGGCCAGAGGAGAGGGAGGAGGAAGGGGCTACCGTGGTACGACAATGGGCCAAATGAACATGTGGCTGCCAGGGTTCAGCGAGACAGACAAAGGTGGCAGCACCGTCCACACTAATGCATCAAACGGATGAATAAACCACCACCATGCACATCTGGTGGATTCAGTGGGCTGCTTTCCCAGAAATAGATTAACTATCAGCTATCCTTAAATAACAATCTGTCATGTTCAAATAATGTAGTGTCTAAATCCTGCGGAGGCTCGTGAAGCAGAGTAGATCCAGAACTGGTCATCCAATGTTTTAGTCTACCTAGATTATAAAGTAATATGCATAATGCGCACGGTTAGAAAATGAAATAGCTGACTGCTGATGTTCTCCATAGAAAGAAAAAGTCATCCATCATTCCCCCTGCTGTCTCATTTGTCTTCCGTGCGGATGTTCACATAGATGCTTTCTCCATCTCATGTTTCCTTCTTCTCTCTTTTTCTGTATTCCTCTCGTTTTACAGGATTGCACTGTGTACGAGACAGAAAATAAGATTCTCCATGTGGTAAGTTTCTGCTTTAAAATGCTTCTTGTGTAAAGCTCAATTCAAATTGAGAGGTACTGTGGCATTCTCAGCTTTAAAAGAGGAAAATAGTTACAAGATTGTTATCAAACTGTTTACAGTCTGATAATATAGCATCAATCTCTCTGTTGTTGCACATTATACAAAACATATAATAAAGTAATTATTGTATAAAGTACCTCGACATTTTTCACATTCAACCACCAATAAATTATTTTCTGAAAAGAAAATCTAGCAAGTTTAAAACTTGCAGAGTAGTTCTGCATTTTGTAAAATACATGTCAAATTCCCACACATGGTAAATGGTATTGATAGACCAACAGTAGTTATTAAGCAAAAAATGTAATAATCCAATAATTAGAACTACTCTAAAACATATCACATTTTGGATGTTATCATATAATATTAATGCATATTCCATTTAGATTATAATGCATGTTTCCTTTGCGTTGGGCAATAAACCAGACATCAATGTGTACCAAAAAAATAAAAACCAACAACAATAATATGAATTTGTGCTAATATAGCTTCCTGCATGAGGGACGTGCTTTCGCAATTTTAGATCCAATAAAACAGCCGTATTGACAAAATTGCACGAGATCATAAACACATTCAAAGGCTGAAAAAGATCTGTATGTGTGTGTTCGCCCACGCTTTCTGTGTGCAGTGTGTGTCTTTGACAGAGAAGCACTGTGTGTGTTTTCGTGGGAATTTGTGGCACAAAACCGTGCATGTGAATTTGCAAGCGAGCCTGAGGCCTTTTGAACGCTCCAGTTTAGCTTCTGTGTATGTGTTTTTTCCACTCGTGTGTGTGTGTGTGTGTTTGTGTGATCGTGCATGTTTGATGGAGAAATGTCTGTGTCCATGTGTGAAACCGAATGAGCAGCTAGTGTGTGATCGGGGCTGACAGTTGAATCGGGACACTTCCTGCTGCCATTCAAGGTCAGGTGGAGGAAACCAGAGAAAATGTCGGCAGGATCAGGTCACAGAAACCAAAGCCAAAAAATGTATCCTAATAAGGATGTTCTGTCAGTAAATATGCAATTGTATGACATGCTTCTATGAAACAAACCCAATATACGTACGTTTGAAATTGAGATGTTGCGGTGTCCCCCCTGTCAAAGTGTCTCCCCTTGCCTCTTCTGGTTGTATTTAACCTTTGTTGTTGGAAAGTGACATCAGGCAAATTCAAATAAATAACCCTGCACATGCGCACACACACACACACACACACACACACACACACACACACACACACACACACACACACACACACACACACACACACACACACACACACACACACACACACACACACACACACACACACACACACACACACACACACACACACACACACACACTCTCTCTCTCTGAGTGCCAGACTTAAGGCTACACATGACTAAGTCTGTTATGTGTGGGAGGTTTATGTGTGAAACAGGGAGACAGCGTGAAGGGAGAAAGAGGAGGTGTTTGTTTTTAGATGCTGCTTCCTCACAGAGTATTGTTTACTACTGCATGGGTCTAAGTGGAAGCAAAGTGAAACTCACACATAGGTTGACGATGTTTATGACACGCAGTTGATATCATTAGCTCTAATTCTGGAAATTGGACATTATTTCCATTTAGAAGAAGTTAGAAAAAGTTGACCAGTGTGCCGAATTCTGTCACCAGCCATACAAACATAGTTTTTCGCTAAATAACTCATTTTCAGAAAACGAATTCTAACGATATGTATTGTGGAGTTCAATAAACAAATATTAACTGATAGGGCTTTCACACCAACGTGATTCCCGTTCTAGCTCCGTGCTAGAGCTTTTCTGGTTCGGAACTGGTTTTTCTTTTCAGCCCCCGTTTTGTTCACACCGCCCAGAGCCCGACTGGTGCTGCCGCTGCTGCGTCATGACGTCACCGTTTACGCTTACGGCGCTCACTACAACAACAATAATGGGGGGACTGTGTCGGGTCGATGATCGTGTTGCTTTTAATCATACGAAGCCAGATTACATTAAATAACAACTTCTCCAACCTTATACTTTTCTCCAGAGTGCCGTGGTTCATTGTTTATTAATGTGTTTCAGCGGCATTTACCGACCGCTGCAGTGCTGGCTGCTCTTCCACAGGAGTTTATTCTCCCGTTAGCTCCGGGTTAGCTCACACGGCAGCGGCCGATGTAAAGTATTCACTGTCTGACTGTCACACAAGCAGCTGATACATATCCCCAATTCCCCATAAGTGAATGTGTTTCAGTCTGAATTGACGCTGTTTGGCATCACAACGCTGTTATTAAAGTTTCTCTGGTATAAAATGGGTGATGTTAGCATAGCAACCGAAGCTAAACTGACTATCTTGACTACTTGTTGTTGCTATCCTATTGTGGCATAAGCCGTTTTCTACAGGCACATTTTACCGGCGTATTTTTCATTATGATTCTACTTTTGATAGTCGGACATGACAACCTGTGCAGCCCATGTATTGATTCCATCTGATAGCTGCTATAATACAAAACAAAACGTCTGCCTGCTCTCCACAATGATCAATGACAGCGAACGGATAGTCAAATGGCGCGTTTCCACTGCAGGCCTTGCTCGGCCTCGCTCGGTTTGGTTAGGCCTTATTAGGCCCGGTGACCATATCGGCACCATATGTGTTCGGGGTACCATATGTGTTCGGGGGCCTTCTCTTACCAATGACGTCACGCATTGTACGCATTGTGATTGGCTGTACGGTAATTTATCCAGGGGTGCTCGGGGGCAAATCACATCTACAGATCATGACGAACCGAATTGAAGTATTCCTATACTCCTAGCGTGTGAAAATGTTTGTGAAAAGCATGTAAAAAAAACATGAAAACGGAGCAATGGCTGTACGCCATTGGCTGTACGGCAACTCAAGAGGACCATCATACACGGTCAAATTCCGAACATTTAAACATAGCCTACACTTCATTCTTTACTTTGTCCGTTATTATATGTAGAAGATATTACTTTTTTCTCCGTGATGTTGTTTCCATAGCAACAACTTCAAACAGGAAGTTAACCTAAATTACATTTAAGACACTGCAACGAAAGTAACAAAAACAATGTAAAATCCTTTTCCGTTTCACAGAAAACAAATTGGGTTATTTACATAATTATGTTTACACTGTCGATTGTTATTTTTGGGGGGGACACGACACATCAAATCACATCTACAGATCAAGACGAAGCGAATGAAAGTACTCCCATACTCCTAGCGTGTGAAAATATTTGTGAATAACGTGTGCAAAGTCTCCGAAAACGGAGCAGTGGCTGCGATGCTAGCTTTGCGGCTAGCGTATTTAAAGCGTCAGCTAAATGCAATGTAATGTAATGATAAAAAAAACCCTCTATCATCTAGACCAGTGGTTCCCAAACTTTTTGTGCCCAAGGCACACCAAAGGACAAGTAAAAATCTCAAAGCACACCTATTGTGCAAAATAGCCCTTATAACACGTGTTATCACTCATATCATGTAAAATATCTGTAAATGTGCATAATTATTTACTAATGCCAAATAAAAATGTGACAAAGACAACTATATTACTCATGAAATATTTATTAATGAAATATTTCAGAAATTAATTTGAAACTTTATCAAATTAGGCTTCATCAAAGCAGCAACACACTCATTTAAACCAGACAGGTCACAACATTAAAAATGAGGCAAAGGAAACTCAGCAGAAATTCAGCACAGAGAACTGTCAATGCAAGGAAGCTGCATTGTCCATGATCCTGAACTACACATTATAAATGTAACATTTCAGCAATCAGCATTGAAACATGTGCTATTGTAAATATTTTGGCGACTTACAAATTAGTGAGATACATGTGCCTGTCGGGGCGCGCAGAATTTTTTAATCCTTGGTGGCACTGAGGAGAGGGCCACTCGCAAGTCCTGTTCAACAGAGAGCCGTGACCTCCTGTTGTTCTTCATGTAAATCAGAGTAGAGAACGCCAACTCCAGAGATGGGGTCGTTACTAAAAAAATGTAATATATTACATATTACTTTAAAAAAAGTAATATATTACACTACTTCGTTACTATCTACATAAAGTAACTCGTTACTTTACTCGTTACTTTACTCGCCGAGCACGTACGAACTGCGCATGCGTGAGTGGCAATAACTTTCCTTACCAGCAGGCAGCGGTAGTGTGTATTTGTCATTCAAAACAGGCAACAACCGGAAGACAGAGAAGAAGAACAGACTACGTGATATAAACAAACAACAAATAGCGTGTGCGGTAGCTTCACCTTAGCATGTGTTCTTTGCAGGAGCTTGTTGAGGTTTGACGTGGTGTTTACAGCAGTGGATAACAGCTTCTGGCCTGGACACAGTTTCCTCACCGTCACATTCCTGTCTATTCTTCGGACAAACTCAAAATAATGGGCATACCTCCACCCCTCGAAAGTTATCGCTGACTCAGCCATGTTTATGCAGCACTGCACGTGGAGATGTGGACGCACAAGTCGCGCAGATTACGTACATATAAACCTACAAAGTACTGATATAGTAAATAAAAAAATTATTATTTTTGTGTAGTTGTATATTGCAATAATAACGTATGGTTGTCACAAAATCCCACGGCACACCCGGACTTGACTCACGGCACACCAGTGTGCCGCGGCACACCGTTTGGGAACCACTGCTCTAGACAGCGTCCCCGAGCACCCCTGGGTAAATTACCGTACAGCCAATCACAATGCGTGACGTCATTGACGTCATTACGTCGTGACGTCACTGGTAAGAGACAGACCCCGAACACATATGGTACCCCGAACACATATGGTACCGACACCGGCTCACTTTAATGCTGCGCTTCCATTACAGTTTAGGAACTGTGGTAGTTACTATAGTAACACAGTGTAGGCGGAGCCGTGACGTCATCTTCAATGAGCGCCCCAGAAAAACAACACAGCCGTTAGCTCTTGGCACTCAGAGCTCACAGCTCTTCATATCTGTT